ATCTTCACAGTGTTCTACAGGCCTCAGGGCTGACGATGCATTGGGATATAGAATCTTGTGTCTGCTCTTTTTGTTGAATCCAACAACATTCATCATGCAAAATAGCAGTCCGTCACATGATTCGAAGACTCACGTCAAATCATGGGCACGCCAAACCATGGGCACGTCAAATGGCATTTTTTTCACTTTACAACTAAACCACTTGCCAATAGTTACTTCGCAAAGTTTACAAATAACATAAGGCGCCCATGCTTTGTCCTGGTCTCCCAGTTTATATCCAAAGTATGCATGATAATATTTCTTTGTTAAATGTGATATTTTTTTGTTCTCAGCCACTGTGCAAAATCGTCCACAAACATAACAAAAACTGTCTGCTAAATTTGTACAATGACTTGGCATTGTGAAACTTCTTTTGAAATTAAAATCTGAAACACACAAACAACAGTAATAAAATATTCAATTAAACTTGTATTCAAACCTAAACTGATGATGTAAGCCGCTTATGATAAGCATAAAATTTGTAAACACAACTTTGTGGTTTTCTCAAAAACCTAACGTGATGCAAAAAAAAAGAAGTACATCAAAATTTATCCTTTTTAATAAGCTTTCAGAAATTCATAATGTTTTACTTGCAGTTTTTTTTATGTAAACCAGTGTAATTTAACAGAAATATTGTTGGCTTTACTAGGTTTATGGAATAAGATAAATTTAGTTTTCTCTACATTTAATGAAAGTCAGTTTTAAAAATGTTTTAAAAGCACTTTTTAAAACAAGTTATACTAACAAGCAAAACATGTAAATATATGTTCAAGGGTTTCCCATATGGGTCAAATACTGTCGAAAATGATCATAAAACGTCAGATATAGATCCTTTTTTAATCATGATGAATACACCTTCTTATATACTTTAATATATGTTAATGTATATAAAAAAGAAGGATGAGACAAAATTTGATTACCTAAGAAGTGTAAAAATTTTTTAATTTATCTGAAAAAGTTAACTGCAATAATTCATACATAAATTTTTTTTTATATATCAACAGAATAACTCATACATTAATACCTGAACAGTGGGTACCACACAAAATAGTCTCAACTAACGCAACATCTTTGCAACTATGTGCAGGCTTGCAAGTTCGTGTACGTGTGCTTACTGAACAGTTGCTAAATTGAGACCATTCACTAATGAGACGTCTTAGAACAAAAAAATATATATATAAATTTTATTTATAAATGGATTCACATTTGTAACGGAAACTTTTTTACTTTTTTAACTACGTCAATAACGGAAAATGATGATACCATTAATAAAAACTTAATGTTCCGGTAAACTGGAGTAGTTATCTTTATGAAGTTAAAGCTCTATTTCTTACATTTGTTCTTCTTTTTGTTAGAAAAAAAAAGTTTTTTGTTATAAAAACCAAGTTTCATATTTTATTTATTGTGTATAGATGTTTACATTTGCATTTTTTTCGGCAAATCTAGATCCGTTTTTGTGTTTATTTTATTTATGTTGCTTATTTTTTATAAAAATTAGAAATTATTTACGTCCGCCGATAAACAGCAGCCCATCAAGTATATGTGTAAATTACGTTTTCAGTCGAAGCCTATATTAGTATGCCTATAACTAAACAAATCTGGTAATGGATATTTCAAGACAAAATATGACACATTTTAGATTCTGAAATTAAAAATATAACAGAACAAAAAAAATGCAGTTATTCAAAGGTGAATCTCAATAAAAATCAGTAGCTGCTGGCGGTTTCTAAAATTGGAAGAAGTTATTATAGTGAAAAATCTAATGCATGCCAAGCAGTTGGAGGGTTTAGTGTTTGATACTATATATTTAATCATAAGAGAGTTTGATACCATATCTTAAACTACCAGTAAACATTGCAGCTGTTGCGTAGCTTTTACATCTTTTGCTCAGAAGCAAGAAGTTCAACCCAGCCGGCAAATAACGTTGAAATATCGTTGAAACCTAACGTTGAATTAACGTTGGTGTAACATTTAGAATGAAAGTTTTTTTCAACGTTGATTTATCAACGTTAAATCAACGTTAGGTTCAAACGTTATATCAACGTTGAATCGACGCGAAAAAACATTACAATAACATTGAATTAACGTTGATTTAACGTTTAGAATGAAAGTTTTTTTCAACGTTGATTTATCAACGTTAAATCAACGTTAGGTTCAAACGTTATATCAACGTTGATTCGACGCGAAAAAACGTTGCAACAACGTTGAATTTACGTTGATACAACGTTTAAAATGATAGTGTTTAACGTTGATTTATCAACGTTAAACGACTGTAAAACACTTTTTCACCATCAAAACGTGCTATGTATGTTAAAATGTATATATGTATGTAAACGTGCTATGTGCGTCAAAACATGATCACCATCAAAACGTACTATGCATGTACATTAGTGTTGCTGTTTATTATCAAGGTATATTATGGATATTAAATCTATTCATAGTCTATACTTAGACTATTTAGAACTTTTTCAGTTTAGTTTAGTTAAAAAAGCTAGGTATGATTAAAGAAAGAGATAAAACTTGTTTTATTTAAAAATACATATTCAAATATTACATATATTTACATGTAATTGAATAAAATCTACACAAATTTCTTCTCTTTTCCACCACCTTTTTGAAATAAAGCGTAATTTAAAAAGTCAAACAATGTTCCATTAACCGAGGGTTTTTTTGGTCCATTGAATACAATAGAAGAAGCTGTAAATAAAAAAAATATATTAAAAAAATCAAAAAGGGAAGATTTAAAAAACAAATAATGAATGGAAAAGTGTTACATCTTATGAAGGCACATCTTTTTCAACGCCATATAGATTAGTGTTCTTAAAACATATTTTTCCACCTTTGCCCTTCATATCCATAGAGACCATATAACTTTTCGAAAATACTCTGAATTTTAAAAAAATAATATAACTGTTAGTTGATTATTAATAACTTTTTCAAATATTTAATTTAAATAAAACAACCTTTTTAATATATTAAAAATAAATTGGTAGTCAAAATATAAAACATTTCTAGCATTTAAAAATAATTTTCGGGGTGGCCACATAAAATTTTTATAAGAAATTTTATGTGGCCATTTATTAATGGTTTAACGTCCATGTTTATACACTTATGGGGCTGGGACAGGGATCAAATAATGTCATTTATTATGTTAAATGGCATGCATTTTCTAAAGCAATTTTTTACATTTCATGCACTTTAAGGCGTTAACCAGTTTTGCAGACCGAGAATGGGTATTTTGAACATTATACATCCATCAAAAATTAAAAGAGAAAAAATTAATGAGGAGCTTTGATTAAATTTTTACCTCTTTTGAGGATAATAGAGGATTTTAGAAGTGGTTTTAAAATAAAGAGGACTTTAGAGGATTTTAGAGGAGCTGCAGACACCCTGATTATAAATGAGGTAAGAGTCCAATACTGTTTTTGATTACCTCAGCATAATTTTGTGTATTCTATCTTTAGAAGACGTTCCACCAATTAACTAATTAATTTATCTGTAATTGATTTATCTGTAAAAAACATGAAGTAAATCTATTGTTATGCTTGTGGAGATATATTATATTGTGGAGAACCATCCAAACCACACAAAGGGAAAATTTGCATCCAAGTTTCCACTTGTGTGCAAATCTTGCATCCACTTGTCAACATTCTTATTATCACATTTTTCTTTTGTAGTTGTGAATTTAAAATTTTCACAATACTGTTTGCTTTCTTTTAGAATTGAAATAGTTATACAAATAGTTATATATTTTGTATCAACAAAATAACTTTTTTTACCACATTATTTAAAAAATAAAAATTGTAATATATAGATGTAATACCTGAAGAGAACTTAGTTTTTATTTGTATAAACTTAAGCCAATTCTTCTCTGCATTTAAGTGCAGTCAATGCTTTGGTACCTGGAAGCCGACAAACAGTTTTATCACTAATCCAATCAGATGGAATTACTTCTTCTTGTAAATCTTCATTCCAAACAGCTCCTTTCCACATATTCGATTTTGAAAAAATTACATGAACTAATATAAAATGAAGAAATTGTATTATAAGTGTACTAACAGGCCTAATTAAACTAGCTAAATTTGAACATTTTATAACCATGATACTTGCTAAACAATAATATTAGTAGACATTATAAGCAAAGATAAGATTTTCTTTATTTTATAAATTTATAATATTTTAAACTCATTTTTATTAATTTATTTATTACTCTATTATTCAGCAGAGTTCTGAATATATTATGTTCAAATAACTTAAGGCTCAATAACAAAGACAAATAATGAAAGAATACTAGGTTGCTAAAACATAAACATCTACATAAGATAATTATGGAATAATGAAAAAAATAGAAATACAAAAAAAACAAAAATACTCATTATTAATATAAAATATAATAGTATAATTTAAGGTATATTATAATATATGACACAATAATATCGACTTTTAATTAAAATATAAAAACAACAAAAATTAAAAAAGAAAATATTTTGATAAATAATAAATTATCATTCAAACAATTTTCAAGATCAAAAAATAACTTGTAACTTATTTTTTTACTTATCTTTATCTAATAAACATTACTTATTTTTCACTCATTTTCATCTAATAAACATTAATATTAATACCAATTTTAAACATTATTGGAATTTTTTTTTTCAAAAAATAAAAATTACTTTTTGGGCTTTTCTTATTTTACTTAAAACATCAACTCAATTCTAGACTTTTTTCATAATTGAGTTAATTTGTAATGTTGAATTAACACTGAAAAAAAAATATTAGCAGACAAAAAGAAATTATTTCTTTATTGAAATATATGTAAATATTTCAATAAAGAAATTTTAGATTGATTTTTATAAATATAAATTTATATCAATCAATCTAAATTTTTTTCTTTTCCGCCATCTTTTCGAAATGAAGCACATTTTTAGAAGTTAGACAAAATGCCATCAATTAAAGTTTTAGTCGTTCCATCGTATTTAATAGAAGAAGCTGTTAATAAAAAAGAATTAAAAAAAAAAAAAAAAACCCCAAGGAGAAATTTTTGAATATATAAAAAATGAGAATAAAAAAGTTTTTCATATCTTATAAAGGTATACCTTTCACTACACCATATAAATTAGTGCTCTTAAAGCATATTTCCACCTTTCCCCTTCATATTTATGGAGATCACAAAATTGTTGGTAAATATTCTAAATTTTAATAGATAAGAGAACTGATATTAATTATGCGAGAACTAATATTATTATTTTTTTAAATTTAAATTGAACTCATTATCAAACAATTTTTTTGCTAAATAATTTAATCCTTAAAATTCCTGAATAATTAAAAATTATTATAATTACCTCAGCATTTTAAAGATATTCCATCAATTGCAATTGATTCACCTAAAAAACAACAACAAGTAAAGCAAATATTATTGTTAGAAATTTTAATTATCTTTATACAAATACTCATCATATTTTTAAAGTGACTGATAAAAATGGATTCAATTAAAATCACTTCATTTGTATTAAAAAATTAATATTAAAGCCTCAATCATACATTATACAAGAGTATTTTGTAATACAATCTAAATAATTGTTGCAATATGTAATTTTTTTATCTGAAATTTAGCTTCTGTAAGCTTTAGAAATTTTTTAAAGAAATTATTGATGAATTTGGAGCTACGGGTACTAATGTTTTTATACTGCTGTAATGTTTGTATTCATTCCCTGTTAGTTTCTGTAAGTCAAAATTTTAAGGTGATGCCATAATAAATTCTGTTATATCTAAAATTTAGTGTTAGTCTGAATAATTTACTTTCTAAAATCTGTTTTGCATTGCCTGTCTTATAACATCTTTACTTGGAAAAAAACCATGTGGTTTAAAAGTGAGCTAGAAGCTTTCAACAATGAAGAAAATATTGCATTCGCTAATCCTAAAAATATATTAAACCTGTCAGCAAAATCAGCTGTCAATAATCCAAGTATTAGCATCATTAAAAATTCATCTTTGCTGCATTATATTTATTTTGGTCCAAGTAGTTAAGGATTTTTTTAAATTTCAAAAAACAGAAGTAAATGTTTTTTTTTTAATATCACTTTATCTCTTTTGATTAATGGTGATACTGCACTAACTGATGAAACACATTGACAGATGTAAGGCCAGTATAAAAGTCGCAAGATCTATTATTTTTAAAATAAATGTTTGTATACAAGTAAACTGCAATAACACGATTTGTTTGGATTATGTTTATATACAAATTTGTCTGTTTTCATAGTAATAACTGATGTGGTTGAAGTTAATTTTTCATATAAATCTTTATTTTTTTATTTCGTGCTGAAGTTCTTTTTTAAAGTTATCAATTTCCTTTTTTAATTCTTGATGCTCTATTAAAAAACAACGCTTAGCATTAAATTCAACATAATTTAATGGGTTATTTTTTGAAAAAGCTGTATTATATTTACATTTAATAATATCAGTCTTTGAGCATTGTAGCCCAAGTTAAACGAAAAATATCGATTTTTAAACGATAATGTTCTTTCAGGAAAATCGTCTGAACATGTTTTCGATCTCTTGAAAATTCTATATGATATAAGTTCAGTATTTACATTTTTTTTCCATTATAAATCTCTATAACTTTAATCGTTGAAATAATGTTTACGATTTTACTTCGCGCATAAATTTTATATCGTATTTTTTGTCAACAATGATTGAAATAATGACGTTAAAATAACGTTAAATAATCAACGTTTAAACTGTAACGTTGATTTAACGTTGAAATAACGTTAAATAATCAACGTTTAAACGGTAACGTTGATTTAACTTTGTGACATAGTTGAACAACGTTGAATCAACGCTTCAACCGAATTTCAACGTTGAAACAAAGTAATAATGCCGGCTGGGAAAGCTCTTCAAAAAAAAAAAAAAAAAAAACCATCATTGGTGGCTTTTTTTTTCTTTATGTTTTCTCGTTTAACTATGTTACATTTATTTTTTATATTTATACAATATATAAAATATAAAAAAATATATATACAAACGAGTATATCATTAAAAATAAGGAATAAAGAATACGGAAACTCAAAGAAGACCGTGATGTCTTGTCGCAGAGAACCGTTTGGATTTCAAACTTTTAATATTAAATTTTTAAAACTTTTTGTATTTGGGTGTTTATGGTGATTTAGGTGCTTATAGTAATATAATGGTGAAGTTAGGTTTATTGATTTTCTTGTTTAGTTATATATAGAAGTTTATTTCTTTGACTATATATTCATTTCCATAGTATGTATGATAAAGATGCAAACACAATATATACTTAAAAAAAAAAACTATATTAGAACAAGAGCTAATTATCAACAAGAATTCAAGAACCCCACTCTGATTTTATTTTCTACAATTTTAATGCAAGAAATGTTCAATTCAATTATTATTTTTTTTAATCTATTCGATTTATATTATCATCACCAACACACTATGACGTCATCAAACACATCGATAATTATACTGAAGTATATTATTTTTAACTATTCTATGCAACGGTTTATATAATTATTTATCGGAACAGATCCAATCCAAAAGCTAATAAACATTTACAAAAAATCAATAAAAATGAATTCATTTAAAGCGTTTTGATTCCAGCGGTTCTCTACGACAAGACCTCAAGGACTTCTTCGAGTTTCCGCATTCTTTATTCCTAATTTTTATTGTTATATTTATTGTCATATTTCTATTGTTAACGAAATCTTTATTGTAAATATTATTTATTTCTTTTTTTTTATGTCCTTACGTTTTATTCACAAGTTATAATAGAAATTGTAGTAATGATTGTAATAAAGAATAAAAAAATAAAAAAAAAAAAAAAAAAAAAAAAAATATTCATTTATTCATATTCATTTAGATAAATGATTTTTCTTCTTTAATTTTTCTTCTTTTTTTTTTTTTTTTTGTTGGATCTGAAAATGTAGTGGAATAAATGAACTTTTTGCTTTCTTGCTCGTCCGCGGTACTCTGTAATGACAAAGAAAAGATTTCTTGGAATACCTAAACAACTTTAAATAAAAATATAAACTGGGAGCTTGTGGCATTATCCAACTTGGTTGTCGCTTGCTCAATGACATTTTTTTAAAACATTCTTAACAAAATGTTTTCAAAAAGTTATATATATTTGGACAAGACAGAAAATGGAGCACAGCATCTGGGAGGTATAAATACATTTTGTGTGAAGCAAAAGTTTGTAACTTATTTAAAAGAGCACAAGGCTCCACTTACTTCCACTTCTAGATTTTATTTAGTTAATGGACAGTCTTAATTTCAAAAGAAATTTAGAAAAGTAATATGATCAAATTTTTAAGTTTGTAACAAATCTTTTAATTCTGACACTTTATCACAAGTATTCGTAGAATTGTATGATGACAATTTATTTTGTTAATTATTTTTTTCAAATAAAAATATTTTAAAACTGATTTTTGATTGTTATTGGTTACTGGTTTGAGAGAAAAGCAAGGAGCTAATACTCATTTATTTAAATTGATTTTGGCATTCAAAAAACCATGGTAATAAGTATTATTTTTTGTTCAAGCTGTTGCTTACATCATGTAAATATTTTTAAAATAATTAAAATATGTAAGCTATTAAAAAATATTTACATGATGTAATCTGTTGCTTACATCGTGTAAATATTTTTAAACTGCTCAATCTCAACATGCATTTACGAAATCATCTTGATCTTCACGCCTAAATCACAATATTCTTCCTTGACACACACAATTATGCTGGTTATTCTTTATCCCTAAGATAATCGTTTTCTTATTTATCTTTTAGTGTCATATTACACAATCTTTAAATCATCATCGTTTCTGTTGTATCAAGAAGCTAAACAATAAATCTCAAACCATGTTGAAACTCATGTTTCACAGTCATACATCATTAAACTTTTAAGACATATTGTGACAACTTATTTTTAATGTTTGATGATGTACCATTTGCGGTTTAAAGTGGATTTAATTCTCTCGAATAGGTTCAGATACACCTTATTCTTGTGACCAGCGTTTTCAGCTTAAAAGTTTTTTATTTATTTTTGTTTATATGTTATTTTTAAAAATGGCAGTTCTATTTTATGTCAATGGGATAGTTTCGTTTTTTCCGTTACAAATATGCGATATGCGGTAGTGGTGTAGTGGTAGAGCGCTCGCTTCATAAACGAGTGGTTCCGATTTCGATCCCCACCACGTCCCTGGTAGTACCGCGCTCAACTCGTTTCTCCGCGCAGCGGCCTTGTTCGTCAAGGTTCGTGTTTCGGAGTTATAGAGTTTAGAGAGGGTTATAGCCACAAATAAGTAGCCTCCTCGTCTGTAGTGGCCTTCTCGGCCTTGAGGAGGTGAATTAAAAAAAAAAAAAAATGTTTTGTTTCCAAACTTTTGTTGATACATATTGTCCCTCATCTAAATTGATACCATGTTGTTGAGGGGCACACATTGGTGGTACTGTATTTCAAGTGCCTCACGAAATTTTCTATTAAACTTTTTAGCATCGACTTTTAAAGTTCTGCAAATGTCCCAGTTAATTTGTTGTGTATAATCTACAATGTGTATGGCTAATGCAGATCGCTCTATTTTATTTCCTATTGTACTGTTTTTGTGTTGTTGCATTCGTGTTTTTATTTGCATTTTTTCCAGCAGGCACAATGACGTTGAAATAGCGTTGAAACAACGTTGCAAACCGACCATATGCCACGTTGAAACAACGTTGAAATTTGGTGGAATTGGAAACAAAATCCGACGTTGAAAACTACGACGTTGAAACAACGTCGAAGATAACGTTGTTTCAACGTTGTTCTAACGTCTTATCGACTACATTTCAACTTTGAATAGGTGATATATTCGGTTGATACGTAGTCAATAAGACGTTAAAACAACGTTGAAAAAATGTAAATTCAACGTTGATTTTTGTTTTTTATTTTAGTTAAATCCAATTAACTAAAAAAATATCTCAACTTTAATTGCAATAAAATATTTTGCGCAAAGAATATTGTATTTCAAGTAAATTAATCAGATACAACTAAATTGCTTCAAGGGAATTTATACACAATGCAAAAAGAGTAAAATGTTTAAAAAAAAATGATTTATTTAACAATAGTTGCAGAACAATTAGAAATAAATGTTATACATCTAGTGAATCGCCTTTTACGCGCCCACCACCACCATTCGATCTGTCGGGTGCGTATTTTAATAAAGTTGTTAACCTTTTCTTATTTCGGCAACTGTAGTAGTCGCTTTAATTGACATGACGCTCTCTATAAAAAAAGGTATTGTCTGAGTAATTTGCATAAAATACATAAAAAAATAAATATAAAACAGCATCAAAGCAAAGAACTCTGATTTTTAAAAATATATAGTTTTACACTTGACTTGCCAGTAACAACCTTACAAATG